TTATGGTTTGTATTATGGTGAACTCGGTATTGTATTATCTTATTTGGTGTCAATTACTGGTTTACATGTTATGTATGATTGGATGATTGAGCTCAAGGAAAAAGGCAAAAAGGTTATGTGAATTGATAAATGGATAATGTGGACAGCCTGACTAGATATCCTGGGAGATGGTGGACGGACCGGGTCCGTAGGGAACCCTATCAGGAAGTGGTCTCTCATACCGGACGGGGTATGGAGACCTTATGTGTTTTGGCGCCCATACCGGATGGGGTATGGGGACGACCCGTTTCACCCTCATACCGGACGGGGTATGGAGGTTTATGGTTTTGGCGCCCATACCGGACAGGGTATGGGGACGATCCTAGAATCAAGTTATTAATGTTAATGGTTCACGTGTAGCGGGGACCCCCTATGGATCCCCATAGATACTAGTAGGCTGGTAAAAGAGGAAAATATGTTGTTTAATAATTGAAATGCAAAGTCGTGGTAAGTGTTATGTTATACAGTTTATATGATTTTATGATGATGATAATGTTATTACTTTCATATGTCATTTTCATTGATCTCACCGAGGTAAGTGAACAATAAAGGTTTTTATATTAATAAACAAGTTCGTTATAAATTATGCTCCATTACTCATTTTTGTTTTCTACCCACCTTTATTTCCGTGGCGGTGAGATAATGTGATGTCTTTACTAGACTGGTGTAACTCATTCCTTATTTAACCATTTCAGATCATGAAGACATTGTGTATGAGACCGTTCCGCAGGAAGACGGCAAAGGGGATGCCTAAAGACTCCATGGTTATATTTATAGTTCTTATCTCGAGTATCTCTTTTAGTTAGTTTGTTACTTCATGTTTTGAGTTCGTTTTGGTTATTGTGTAAGAGATGTTAATCAAAATTTTTATTACGTTTTTGTATTTGACATTTTTAATACATATATTTTATTTAAATTTTTGGGGCTGTTATAATATTATATTGATTATTTAATTGTCAAAAAAATTTAAAATATATAAAATTTGTGTGGGTTGAATCGATTGGCGAATTCTAGATCGGTGGAACCTTTTGATGGCGTGCATATATACATACATATATACATATATATATATATATATATATATTTGTAAATTTCTCTTTCCAAATCTCTGATATTATTGAATGAAATGTAATTGGAAGATAAAAAGTAAATCAAATTAATAAGTACGCACAACAAGACAGCCCACTAGGTTGATAATTATTGAGCAAAGGGATTGCATTATATATAAAAGAGAATGTAGTGGGTGCTGATACAAATACAAGTTTCACTTGTCTCCTCTCTATACGACAAATACAACTTGGAGAATCCTCATATAAGTAAACAATGTATATATATATATATATATATATAGGCTACGTGGAGAATCGATCTTGCTTACATTACATGTATCTCTCTCTCTCTCTCTCTCTCTCTCTCTCTCTCTCTCTCTCTCTATATATATATATATATGAATTTCTTGTAGTGAAAAGATATTGTTTACATATAAGATAAAACAATAAATATCTATATATATGTATAAAAACTAATCATCTAGGAAAATTAAATATGAATTTAATTATTATTATATATAAATAATCAAGCTCTTTTTCTGATATATATATATATATGTGTGTTTGAATTTTTTTAAACCGTGGTAATTTCCATGCAAACATGCTTACGTTAATATTTTAAGGTGGCGACCATGCAGTAGTCGCTGTTCCGTACTGGAGTTGACTGTTTCAGATGTTGAAATCATACATTGTATGTACAAAAGATTAGTGGCTATTACTTAAATTTTGATGAATATGATTTGCACTAATTAATATGAATTATATCTATATATATATATATATTATATTGTTCTCCACTTACCAATCTGATCTAAGCATATCGAGAGGTGAAAAATGTTACTAGCTTTCAAAATACCATGTACATACATACATACACATATATATATGTGAAATAGTTATAAATTATTGTGGTAGTATAGATTCTATAAGAATAAATTATAAATTATTTACAAATTACAATATAATAAAAGCACATGTCGTTATTTATTTATTAAGTAATATATATTATTAATTACAATATAATATAAATAATTTTTAAATAAAAATACACATAAAAATAAGTGTGACTCATTCATATAAATAACATTATTAAATAATTATATTATTGTGGTAGGCAACATAAGACTATATAGAACATTATCAAAAGTTATTAAATTCCACGTGGAGACCATTAAGATAAATATAATATTATAAGTGTAATATAATTAGCCATAAAATTGCACTTTTTTTGTGACTATTTTTTTAAGTGGTGGATGGTGGCACCTATTTTTTCACCAACTTTTATTAAATTATTTAAAAGGGTAAATTAGTAAATATACTCTGTATTATTAATTATAATATTTATAAATTTATAAATAAGTTAATTAGACTTTATTAGAATTAATTTGTTTAGAATCGAGGTTCAACTCATATCCCTTACATGAAAGTAATTAAAACTAATAAAATGGTTAGATAAGTAAGATAATTAATAATTAATATTAATGCGAATTAATTGATTTTGATAATTTTTTTAAAATTATTTTTTAAAAAAAATAGTAATTAATGCAATTTATTATTTATATATTTATACAACCCTTTATAATTTTTTTGAATTTAGTACTTTTAACCCATTAATCATAATAAATAATGATTTTAACTTATATAACATATTATATTTTTTATTAAAAGGGAAAAATCACAATCCCAAGTATCCAAATATGGAATATATGTATTGGAAATTAGTTAAAGTTATTATAATCGCCATAGACAAAAGTTGACAAGAAATGGGAATCACCATGAACAAAAGTCAAACTTATAGTCACATACACATGCATACAAATCTATATATATATATATGTGTGTGTGTGTGTGTGTGTGTGTGTGTATAACAATATATACGGGAATAAATTATCCATTACGCTTCCAAAATGATACTCGTGGGAGAATCTACATAGAATAGAATTATTCAAATTCTGATCCTATAGTATAATATATTTTTTAAAAAGAATTAATACTAAATTAATCTCAAAATTAACCCAAATGTTTAATTCGTGTAAAAGATTTTTTTTAAAAAAAAAATTGATTAAATTAAATTATTTATAATAATTTAAAAGCCTAATAACAACTATGAAGAATAATTACATTATTAAAATTTAAAAATTTAATTATGAAAGTATAGTTTAATTATTAAAATATATATGTATAGGAAGAGGAAAGAATCTAAATAGGAATGTAATATTTAGGGAAAAAGAAATTTGGTTTTGCATTTTTTTCATGCCTTCTCATTACAGAAGATATCTTACATGATAATGGTCATCAACCTAACAAAAATATTATGTATACATATATAGATATATGTATATATATATATATATAATTTAACCCAAAAAGTAAAAAGAAAAAAAAGAAAAGTCCAAGAAGGTTAAAAAAATAATAGTAAATAAACTCTCTTTCTCCCTTCCGTGCGATCCTTGCACCCCTCCCCTGTTATTTCTCTATTCCTCTGCTCTGTTTTGGTCTCCTACAAAACTGATGTACTCAAGCTTTTGGTGCCTCCAATGCTAACATAGGAGCTTGTAATTTCCCAGAAGTGACAGCCACTGCAACCTCTGAACCGCCGTTGCTGCTACCTTCACAGCGCTTCTTCTGCACTTCCAAGTCGTCGTCTTCCTTGATCTCGTCTAAAATAATTATTACTGTGCTGTGTCCATTTTCTCCATTGCAGTACTTTATGGGTTCTGGGATTTCCTCTGCTTCTTTTTCTCTGTACTCTCTGTATTTTCCCCAAAGAACAGAGTAAAGTCCAATCACGATCAGAACGGCACCGAGAACTCTGTCGCCCACATGATAAAAAAAACATTTGTGAGTCATATTTTCAGTAAATTGTAAAAATTATGATAACTTTGCGGTTCAAGAAAAGATAAACGGGGACATGTTTTTGGGATTTATGAAGAAATCGGATAGGAAATTTTACCCTCCAAGATAGATTTTTTCCGCGAGAATAAAAGATCCCATAATTGCTACAATGATCATCATGAGAGGGCTGAAAGCAGTGACAAAGACCGGCCCTCTTTTCTGCATGACTAGCCCTTGAACATAGTATGCAATACTTGATGTCACAATACCCTGTTCATGAAATCAAAAATTCAACTTCTTTAACGCACATACACAGACGTACATACATACATACACACATACATACATACATACATACATACATATATATATATATATATATATAGAGAGAGAGAGAGAGAGAGAGAGTGAGTGAGTGAGAGAAAAGGGAGAGTTACAGCATAGGCAGCAGCTAGAAGGTTCATGTCCCAGCCAATGGACCAAACAGAGGATTTATGTTCCATGACAAAGGTGACTGCTATAGATTGTAGGGTGCCCACAAAGCAGACAAGGGTTGTAAGTGAGAGCTGAGCTGTATACCTCGTCAGGGTCAATGCCTGTATAAACCCCCCCAAGTCCCATATCAGTCAGATAATAAGTTCTGGTAATTTTGTTTGGTGCAAACCGATTCACATGACAAAAAAAGGAAAAGATAGAAGAAAAAGAGACCTGTAAAATGAAGAATGAAGCCCAAGCAAGAGTGGCCAAGATGAGAAGAATAGAACCCTTGAGCCACTCCTTGTCAGATGAGGCGGCACTTGTAGGGTTTGAAGAAGATGAGTTGTGAAGGTGAATGTGATCAGACCAGAAGAAATTAATCACACGCCCTTTGTATAATGTCATCAACATGGCTCCTCCCACTGTCACTATTGTTCCCACCACCTTTGCCTGGCATCTTACTTTCTTCATATCCACCTTCTCCATCCTTATAGATAAACGCACACGTATAAACCCAAGTCAAAATATTATCCGGTGAAAAGTTTTATCATTGGGATTTAAAATCTTTGATGTGTCAGAATTACCTGCAGAGAACTGCCATGACAAATGTCATTGCAGGAAGCATATTACTCATGGCACAGGAGAAGGTTGGTGATGTGAATTTCAGCCCAGCGTAGTAGAAGTTTTGATCAATCACAGGCCTGTTTAGGACAACATTTATGTAAATATATATGTGTGTATGTAGAGAGTTGGTATGATGATTAACAAAGGGATGGGAGCTTGATTTATGAGTAAATTAACACTAACCCAAGAAGACCCAGAATGAAAATTTGCATGAAAATGGGAAATGTGATCTTTGGCCTCACTTTTCTGCAAGCAAAATGATCACCCAAAAACTTACTAAGTAAATCAGCTTATATTTATGGATGTATCCACACGTATGTACGTAAAGGTCATATATATACCTCTCGAGAAGGAGAGCGAAGGGAGCAATAACTGCAGTGGCAAAGGCATGACGGTAGACGACAAGAACATAATGGCTCATTCCTCTGTTAAGGGAAACCTTGGTGATGATATTCATGCCGGCATAGCCAAATTGCAGGCAGATCATGGCGATGTACGGCTTTGATCTCTCTATGAATTTGCTTGAGCCCTCCATCTCTAATTTTTTTTTTTTTTAAAGGGTAAAGAGGAAGAAGAAGAAGAGGAGGAGGAAGGGGAGTCGAGGAAGAACACTTGAAAGCTTGTGTGTTTCCTAAGTTGTAAATGGCAACAACCTCATGAATTTATAGCACTCTTGGCCCCTCTAACCTTTCTTCCCAGAGGAGGTTTATCCAAAATAGGCTTCTCTTCTTTTATATTTATTTTTTTCTACTAATGTTAATATAAGTCCAATAGATACTTATATATATTATATAGTTTTTTAAAAAATATTTATTAATTAATTAGATATATATACACTAATTAAAACATAATAAAAATGCATTCGAGAATGTTTTATATAATATATGTATATAAATATGTTGATATATGTGGAGAATTAAAAATATGAAATCAATTAAATTCTTGAATAAAGTATATAAAAGATTCACTAGAAAATATATTATAAGATAAATGATAAATAAATCAAATAATTTTCAACTTTATTGTAAATTTTACTATAATGTTATAGTAATCTTCTAATTTGTCATATGTAAAATGTGTTAAGATGATTAGTAACTAAAAATTTAAAAAGCACATAACTGTATTTGATTTATTGCAAAACACAATTATTACTTTCTGTTTACGATAATTATTAAGATATAATTTTATATGTAATTTTTTTTTAAAAAAAATTAACTTTTCCATAATATTATGTCAGCAACAAGTTACCAATGTATTTATAATATACGTATATTGATTATTTCTTGTATTTTTAAATAGTAATTCTCGTTAATTATTACGTACTGATATTAAAGTAAAAAATCATTTGTTTCGATGATCCGCGTGAAGTATGAGGGTCACACGTGCGTGTTTCACTGACCGTTGGATCGACCCGAATATTCAGATCAGCGGTGGGATGTGCAATTCATCCCAACGGAGGAAGCAGGTGATGTGATTCCACGTGGCAGGTTTTTAGTGGAAATGAGTGTGGACCGGGACCCACTTGGTGGGCAAGCGAAGCGATTCGAAGCGAAGACGAGGGAGCATTGTGCATGCTGATGCCACACACACCGAATAATAATTTAATCGGGGAGCAGGTAGTAATAGTGGTTGGGCCCCGTTTCTTCCAACCCGTGGGGCCCACTTTCTCCGCCTCCACCCCCCACCTACGCGGCCTTTTCCCGTCGCATCTCCGCCCTTCGTCGCTTCACTTAAAAAATAATCAACTTATTTTTTTTTAATTAACGATAATTACTTAATTGTTAATTATATTATTCTAATTATTAAATATTTTTATAATAAAATATAATTTACGATAATTTTAATTTAATTTTTTTATTACAATTTTTTTAAAAAATCAGTAATTTTTAACCTCATCTGGTCCTTGTTAATTGTTAGGTAGTGGGCGTGTGTGTCATTTGTTGCTTTAATTAGTGTTGATTAATTTACGTTAATTATTATCGGGTAGTATGCGCGTGCATCATTAATTACTTTCTCTAATGCTGATTAATTTACATTAATTATTAATTTTGCTTCGTAAATACATGCAAGTAGCTAGTTTAATTGCGTTTCAAAAGGGGGACGTAAGGTTTAACTTTAAGAAAATAATAATCATTTAATTAATTTATTGTTAATCATCAATACATTCTTCTCAATGTTGCAGCAATTGGTTCGCTGGAATTTCTCTTAAAGTATCCAACACATATATATAAAAATATATATATATATATATATATATATATATATATAGAGTGTGAATGTTTTATTGGTCACTTAATAAAGTTGATATTAACGTTAGTATAGCGGGATTTACTTACACCACTATAATTTATTAGATACACTAATTTTTTTTTTTAAAAATAATATATTTACTAAAACTTAATATAACTTGATTATCACAATTATATTAATAATTTAATTTTAACAAATAAAATATTATTATTAATCGCTATTAATTTATAATATAATTATTAATTTACGTGTTAAATATTTTTAATAAAATTTAAAATCGTGATATTAGATATATAATTAATTATTAAGTTTGTATACATAAATAATTAGCATACTGAAAGGAATCTAGATTGTCTTTATTTACAGTACCATTAATTCGATTCTTTATGGTTCTATACTTATGTGTGTGTGTGTGTGTGTGTGTATATATGTATATGTGTGTACGTATACGTAAGTTTCCAACTTCTGAAATATTGTTTATTTAAAAGGAAAAAAAAAATAGTAATGGATAACGAATATATTTCGCTAGTTGATGATGATTTCACGAATTAAAGATATATATATATATTTCTTACGTATTGTGTATATATATAGTTATATCACATCAGAAAACATATATTTATGAAATAGATAGCAGAGAAGAATAAAGCATATATAAATATATACGTATTTGGCAGTTATTAACTTATAAAAACATATATATATATGTAACAGTTATTAACTTATAAAATTAAATAATATACGAACTAAAGCTTCTCATGTATTTGGATTGCAGAATGTAATATATAATATTCCATTAAGATTAGGAGGAATTTTAGTATATCAAGATTCTGTACACTGTACCTTTAACAACACATTCTTCCAATATATATATATATATATATATACATATATGTGTGTGGGTGTACGTATATATTCTAGTACACAAGTACAAATTTATAAATCCTTTGCATTACTTGATCTTGCCATGTCAATTAAATAAAAATATAAGTCTTATAATTAAAAAATTTGATAGGCTATTATATTATGTTGATTATATTCAGTAATTATATATATATATATACCAATGTTTTTACAAAATAAACTTTTAATTTACATGGTGCCGGGTATATCTTTGTTATATATATATATATATATATATATATATATATATATTTTAGGTGTAGCTTTAAGATATTCCAAAGTTTTAAATTGCCTGCCAACTTCTTTGAAAGCTTGGAAATCTGTTTTCAATTAAGAGAATCAATAAGAACAATATGACGTAGTTGATTCAAATCCTTTTGGCCTTGTATCTTCGCATCAATCATGACCAACTTATGTATATCTATCTATATATATGTATATATATATATATATCTATATCTATATAATACGTAAGTTGATTCAAATTGAGCAAGTGATGGAGGAGACAAGAAATGATGAAGAAAGTAATGGAATGAGTAATCTGGCACTCATCATATGTCCTGTACAATCATATATGTCATCGCATATATACATACATACATACGTACATGTGTGTATATCTATGATACATAGATGTATCTGCCTGCCTGCTTGAAGAAACATATACCTGCAATCATATATATATATATATATATGTAATCTTATAATTATGGCCAAGTGGAGCACCAAATCACACAAATGAAATGGGCATCTAATCACCCCCCAATCATTCCTCTATTATTATTACTGTATACAGACATACATATATATATATATATATCTTAATAAAAATATTTAATTTTTTTTCTGAATTAGCACAGGATTCTGGCGCATGGGGAGCTTGATTTGGGCGATCATCATAGTGGAAACAAGGGAGGGCCATGACCGTCAGACATTTTGTCTGTTTCTCAGGTGAATACTGAACTCTACTGTGTATATATATATATATATAGATATATATATATATATATATATGAGTGTGTGTATGTGTCTATATATATGTATAACTATATTACATAAAAATCTAAAAGCATTTTTTAACACCTTGTACTACTAGACACAAAACAACATCACTGTTTATATCATATCATTTGTCTCTCTGCTGCACCACCCCCAAAAGAAAATAACAGTCAATCAATGAAAAATATAACAAAAGAATATAAAAAAGGATACAAATACACACACATGTATACGTATACGTATACGTATATACGTATACATATATATGTATATACGTGGAATTCTAATTATTTTGAGAGGACAAATTGAATTCAAGAGAGCACAACCAAGTACATTATTGAAAAGTTAAAAGTTTTCATAACTAAAATTATTTACATTCATCTTCTCCTCATTTCACTCCACAGTCAAACAATTATATTTTTCGTGTTCGAGCCGGGTTACGTGTCTGATATGTCTTAATTAGAAGCCAAATTATGTACGCGATTTCATACCTTCATGTACTATAGATACACGAAGGTACGAAATCGTTCGCGAAAGTATTAGATATAAAAAAAATTAACTACTATTTTTAACTATTTTAGAATTATTTGTTGAAAATTAGCAACCGAAGAAGAAACATTTTGACCTAATCTCTAGGCGACCAACGTTTCTTTTATTTTCTAATCGGTACATCTTGAATTTTTCTGCGGAGTTTTATAATTTTTATACCGTCGTGTGACGCACGGAAAAGTTATCCGCCGCTAAATCATCTTTTGCGACGGTTTCTTCCCCGCAAAATGTATAACGGCAAAAAATCGTAGGTAACGCAATGGACCGTCGCAGTACTTTATGGAATTGCCAAAATGGTCTCTATTTTTGGTAGTGAGAATTTCTTTTTATAGTTAAGTGAAAGTTGTATGTATATGTGTGTGTGTGTGTGTGTGTGTTTATATATATATATAATTTTCATCTTCTTGTTTTAATTACACAGGCGTCGTCCCTTTTTTCAATTTCCTTTTTCTTTTTCGGCAGAAAAATCCAAGAAATGATAAAGGCAGGCCTTATCATCTTGTTTTTTTTTTCTGTGTTTTAATTATTTTTTTCCCA